CTTGGGGACCATGGCGGACTTTTTGCCCCGCCACATCAGCACACATCTCACCCACACTCCGAGCAGCGACCACAGCCGCGGCAGCAGCAGCAGCAGCAGCAGCAGCAGCAGCAGCAGCAGCAGCAGCAGCAGCAGCAGCAGCAGCAGCAGCAGCATAGCGATGCTCACCATGCGGCGTCGAGCGAAATGGCCATGGACAGCGCCGTCAGTGGGGATGTTCCTGCGACGTCTGAAGGCCCGTGCCCCATGAGCCTTGGGAGCACCGCCCTCAAGCGCACACGAGCAGCTTACGAGTCCAACGGAAAGTGGCCCGTTGAGGGCGCCGGCGGCAGCGGCTGCGCTGCTTTGCGTCAGGGCGCAGGCAGTGGCCGTGGCGTTGGTGGCGGCGGAGGCGGGGGCGGCAGGGGCTGGGTGGGGCGTGCCGGCAGCGTGGAGCCTGATGAGATGGAGCTCAGCTCTGCTGCTAGACCCTGGGCACAGCCGCAGAACTACGGCCCCCACCAGCGCAACCAGCAGCAGCAGCAGCAGCAGCAACAGCAGCAGCAGCAGCAGCAGCGCGCGCAACGCCCGGGCAGCGGGACGGCCCAGGATGGCGACGCTGAGATGGCGCCTGCCTCGACTGCACGCCGGCCGCGCAGCGCTCTGGGTGTTGCCGGCCCTCACGCGCCGGCCTTGCAGCAGCCATCGGGCGCGCCCGCCGCCGCCGGGCCCTCGTCTTCATCGCGGCGTCTCCCCGCGGCGCCGGGCGCCCCCGCCGCCTGCGCGCCCGCCAGCGCGTCGGGCCCGCGGCTGGGCGGGGCGATGTCTCTGGACGTGTCTGCGTGTGAGGCGCTGCGGGGCCTGTTCCGGCCGCGGCTGGACAGCGATGAGCTGGTGTACCTGCGGCAGCGCACCCTGGACCTGGACGAGGCACTGCTGCAGGTGAGGGCCGGGCGCATGTGTGTGTGTGTGTGTGTGTGTGTGTGTGTGTGCGCATGCATATGAATGTGTGTTTCTGTGTGCACGCGTGTGTGGTTGTGTGCGCATGTCACAGCATGCACTCCAAGCACCTCTGCTCCTTGATCCCCGCCTCACATCAGGCGAGCCAGCACGGCGAGGCGGGCCTGCTGGAGAGTTATGGCGGCCTGTTTGCGGGCTGCAGCCCCGCAGGTGGCTCGCGCCTCCCTCCAGACGGCGGCCTCGGGGACACGCCAGAAGACAGGGGCGGGGCTGACGGCCTGGGCGCCGCAGACCAGAGCCCGCAGCACAAGCGGCGCGCGACGCCGGCCAGCGTGCAGGCGGCCGCGCGTTGCAGCCAGGGGGGCTCGCCGCTTTCAAAGGCGGCGCCCGGCCGCCACGAGGCCGGGGTCGACGCCAGCGCTCCGGGGGAGAACTGCGGCGCGTTGCGGGGACCACGACGCATGGTGTCGCAGCTGCAGCAGGAGCAGATGCTGCTGGCGGCGCAGCAGCTGGCCGAGCAGCAGCGGCAGGCGCAGCTCGCAGCCTGGGCTGCTGACGCCGGGGCTGAAGCAGGGGCCGACGCGCCGGGATCAGGCATTGAGGCGGCGCATGGGGCCGGCGGCAGGGTTGGGCGGCGCCGCGGTCCGGGCGAGGGCGAGGCGCGCATGGTTGAGGAGGACAAGGAGGATGGCTGGAGCCCGCCCGGCAGCGGGCTGCACAACACGGGTCGCGTTCTGTTCACGTGACACGCCTCAATGGCTGGGCCCCCCTGCCGCTGTTGATAGCCGATGTTGCCTGGCCGCCCAGCCGAATCTGAGCACAACACAGCAGGAGGTCAGGAGGCATACAGGGCAATGCGGCGCTTGACTGGCTGGTGGCTAGCTGACTGGCTGGCTGGCTGGCTGGCTGGCTGGCTGGCTGGCTGGCTGGTGTTTGGGACTCATTTTGTGCGCCGCGACACAGTTGTGCCCCTCAAAGCAGATTGTGCTTCAAGGGACTGTTGTGCTGAGCACCGCTTGGCGTCGCCTCCGCACTCGGCGGCCGTACCATGCGAGGGCGACTCCAGGCATTCAGACGGGGTTTCGTGCCGTCAGGCGTGACAGGGCAGCGTGCTGCGTGGCCCGCAGTGTTGCTGGGTCACCAACAGAGCCTGGGCGGGGATGGTGATCCAGCCCACCGTGCATGACGCCTGTGCTGACGCCCCTCCCTGATGCTGTCGACCCCTGCCGACCTGCTCACGCCGTATACGCCATGGCGCTGGGGGAGTCCAGTGCATGCTAGCAACCTGAGGCGACTGAAATTCCTGTCCAATTGCATTGAGGAGAGCGCCCTCTTGAGCATGTGTGCCCCCTCTTGGTGATGCTGCAGCACTGCTCGTAATCGCAATCGCGAGCACAATTCACCTGTTTTTCATTGAGCACCCTTCATCTACTTTTGTATTCCGGCGGTCATTGGTCCACCCCCTCCGCACGCACTTGCCAAGTGCTTGGTCCAATGCATCAGCCTTCGACACGGTCCGCGATGAGGCTGTTTCCTCGTCGCCGCTGCTGCTGGCCCCCTCGCCCACATTGCCTGGGCTGGAGATCCACGCCACTTGCCTATTTGGCTGTACTTTCACGCAGCCTAGCTTTAGTCCTGGCTTTGTTTCCCTGTGCTGGCGGTTCACATCAAGTCCCGCCAACCCTGAGCCAGACATCCACTTGACAATCATGCCCGTGCAAGCAGCTCGCCGTGAATCCACCCAGAACGCCTATGATAAGTCTTTCAACCGTGATCCGGGAAGCTATGTCAATGACCTCCGGGGATGCGCAAGAGCATGGCAAAAATGTCAACGGCTCGGGAGCCCGCCGCTAGCGCTTCCGCTTGTCTGCATCGTATCATATCGGTGGGCTGGCTGTCAAGAAGCATGTTCCAGGATGCGATCAAGAGCGTTGTGAGACACATCGAATGAACTCTGGATTTCTATCGCATACGTACGTGCTCTGCAAGATCAATAGATAAGTTCGCGTCATCCACGCCGAGGGGACCCCCTAGCACCAGCACGATTCAGAATAAAACAGACGAAATTGTTCGATAGAGACGGGGGGTCGCTGATCAACGCTCCAGTCAGTGATCTAGAGCCTCTCGGCTCGCAGCGGGCCTCATGGGGCAGAACCAATCAGCTCCTGGAGGCCCTGGGGGTTCAGACAAAAAGAAGGATGGACAGGTGCGGGCAGCTATTCCGATCCCTTTGCGCAGTGATTTCAGGGCGCCGCTTGCGTACTGCATACGAATGTGTGCTTGCTGCGGTGGTTGCAAGTGCAATGCGCATGCTGGCCGCCCCTGACGCTGCAGGAAAAGAAGAAGAAGTGGGAGCCCCCTGCGCCCCCACCACGCGTGGGCAAGAAGCAGAAAAAGCGCGACGCGGCAGCCTCCCTCGGCACCAAGCTGCCGACGGTAACGCCCAGCACGCGCTGCAAGCTGCGGCTGCTTAAGCTGGAGCGCATCAAAGACTACCTGCTGATGGAGCACGAGTTTGTGCAGAACCAGGAGCGCCTCAAGCCGCAAGACGAGCGCAATGAGGAGGATCGGTCAAAGGCGAGTGCCGCACGGCTTGAACAAGGGGTCGCGCAGGCTCATGGTGCAGCGGTGCAGCTGTGCATGCCTGCAGCGTCTGCAGTCTGACGGGTGTCAGAAAGTGGTGCAGGTGTGGCAACGCAGTCAAGGCAGCCTCACATATGCACGGCTGCATGGATTTGGGGAAATACGGCGGCAGCGCTGGTCAGCTTGCCATCATCAAGGCGGCCGTGACAGCTTCGTGCACGGCGTGCAAGTTGCACCCAACTGCTGTGCGCGGCCGGGTTGATGGTAGTGGAGGCATGCAGGCCGGCGTGACCTGGTTGGTTGTGCCAGCGCTGTGCGCACATTATCGAGGCAGGCTGCCCACTCTTGCGTGGGCAAGATGGGCCCGGATGGATGTGTATCGTCACCAAGATGACCCTTTTCCACCCCTCTCAGCCCCCGACAATAGCCACACTCCCCCACCCCGCCCTCCAGGTGGATGACCTGCGCGGATCTCCCCTCAGCGTTGGGTCCTTGGAGGAAATCATTGATGAGAAGTGAGGAGATAAGGATGGGGGAGGGTGGCGCGTGTGCATGCGCCTGTGCTGATGTGCGCGGCTTTGTGCGCGAGTTTGGGTATAGTGTGCGTGTTTCTAGGGCGCGTGTGTGTTGATGGTGCTCGTGAGTGCACGTATGCAAGATCTTCCAGCCGCAGCAGCGACCGCTGCAGCAGAGCGGCATCATCATTCCATTTGCAGGCTGTCCTCGGCCATTGGCCAGCAGCAGCGCACAAATCGAATGCACACGCTCCCCCCTCCCCTGCTGACCACCCCACACCCCAGCCATGCCATCGTGTCGAGTGCCGTGGGCCCCGAGTACTACGTCACCATCCTGTCGTTCGTGGACAAGACACAGCTGGAGCCCGGCTGCAGCGTGCTGCTCCACAACAAGGTGGGGAGCAGCACAAGTGTGGCAGGACGGGAAGGGGGGCAGCACGGACAAACACCAAGCGCACCTGAATGGGCTCAGATCCACTCAGATAAGGACAGTCTGTGGTCGGGGCCTGGGCGCGCGGCGTCTCTGCTTCTCTCCGTGGCGCCTTGCGTCGCGAGTCCTCACCACATCCCCTGTGCGCGCGGCCTCTCCCCCTGCCACCAGGTGATGTCTGTGGTGGGCATTCTGCAGGACGAGACCGACCCCATGGTGTCAGTCATGAAGGTGCGTGCGCTTAGGTGTTGCACAGAGGAGGGGTGCATGGTCCTAGAGACCTGGTTTGTGCTGTTGACGCTTGGGCAGGCCGGCCACATTCCGCCGATCATGGCGCACGGCAGAACCACATTGATGGCAGGTTTTGTTTCGCTATCATCCACACTCGTGACACCCCGGCCCCCACCTCCCGCGACCGCAGGTGGACAAGGCACCCACCGAGTCTTACGCGGACGTGGGTGGCCTTGAGAACCAGATCACTGAGATCAAGGAGGCCGTGGAGCTGCCCCTCACACACCCAGAGCTGTACGAGGACATCGGCATCAAGCCACCCAAGGTGGCTGGGCTGTAGTGGACATGGGGTGGTGCTGGGGCGTCGAAGAGGGATGGAGAGATCCCAGCATGGGCGGTGACGGGGTGGTGGGGAATGCCATTGAAATTTGTTCAAATGTTGGACTGACCTGTCGTCAAGGGCCCAGCAGGCGACCCAGGACGACTGTTGTTCACATTTTCACGCTCTGCCCGCCAGGGTGTCATTCTGTACGGGGAGCCCGGCACCGGCAAGACGCTGCTGGCCAAGGCTGTGGCCAACAGCACCAGCGCCACCTTCCTGCGCGTGGTGGGCTCGGAGCTCATCCAGAAGTACCTGGGGGACGGTGAGGCGCAGCCAGGGGGATGGGGATCCGACGGCTGCGCGGGGCTGCGCACGCAGGAGAGGGTGGCACACGAAGGAGAGTGGCTGGGAGTGGTGGTGCCAGAGTGCGGCTGAGTGCTGGGCTGCTGGGTGGCGCGCCAAGTGTTTCGTTCGCGTCAGCGAGAGCTGCTGCATCCTCGTTGGTGGCACGAGTAGACAAGGGTCTGCAAGGCTGGGAGGCAGCACGGCTGGTGGCTCAGAGGCCCATCCTCCTTGCCCCCTCCCCTTATCCACTCATGCCCACCACCCACCAGGCCCCAAGCTGGTGCGTGAGCTGTTCCGTGTGGCGGACGAGATGGCCCCCAGCATCGTCTTTATAGGTGAGACTCGAGGGTTTCACTGATCAGAACTCTGTTTCTGACCAGCACACAGCAGCAGGACAACAATTATCCCGGCGTGCTGAGTATCAATGGCCTGATCACCACAGATCTGCTCCTCAGCCGGCGATTACACGTCCGCTTGCATGCACACGCCCACACCCATGCACGCACGCGTGTACGAAAGGGCGCACGCGCACACCTGCGTACATCACCCACTCGTGCACAGCAGCCCCTTCCGACGACCCGCCTATCCACCCTGCCCCTCATCTCCTGCAGATGAGATCGATGCCATTGGCACCAAGCGCTACGACAGCCACAGCGGGGGGGAGCGCGAGATTCAGCGAACCATGCTTGAGCTCCTCAACCAGGTGGGTGCAGGGGGGCAGAGCGGGAGGAGGCGGACGGGGCGCTCTCGTAGGGTCGCCAGGTGTGGGGCCGAGCAGGGGTGCGTGATGTGGCGGAGTTCTGGGGCTGTTTTGGGTGAATCAGCAGCTGGCGTAGTGCTCTAGGACTGCAGCCCTACTATAGCATGACGCTTGCGTGGTGCGCGGTCGACCCGTCCGCTCCTGCCCTAAACTCATCGCCCCTCACCAGATGGACGGGTTTGACGCGATGAGCGAGGTCAAGGTCATCATGGCCACAAACAGGTGGGCGATGGTCAAGTGGAAATGGCTTGGTGCTGGGGCCGGCGGTCATCGGGTACTCTGGCCTGCGCTGCTGCCGTGCTTCCGCCACGCACGAGTGCTTGCGCACCGCTCAGCACTCGCACGGCGCCGGTTTCCTGACTGTCGACCCCCGGCCGTGCCTCGTGGCGTTGGTCACACTCTTTCCCCTCTCCAGGATTGAGACCCTGGACCCGGCTCTGATCCGCCCCGGCCGCATTGACCGCAAGATTGAGTTCCCACTGCCTGATGCCAAGACCAAGCGCCGCATCTTCTCCATCCACACAAGTGAGTCAGGGTCCAGCTGCCAAGCACCAGGGCAAGAGGGCACCTGGCACAGGGCAGGAGGGCCCCCTCCTGCCCAGGACAGCTCACATGACCGCAGGTCGCAACGTGGTCTTGTGTTGTAATTCTGCGTGTGATATGCGTGGCTGCGCGGCAACCCCCCCACCCTTCAGGGCCAACAACCGGCCCGGGCCTGCCAGTTGCCATCATGCCCACGCCTCTCTCCCTGACTCCGTCCCACCCGTCATCCATGCCATCCTGCCAGGCCGCATGACGCTGTCGGAGGATGTCAACTTGGAGGAGTTTGTCATGGCCAAGGATGAGCTGAGCGGCGCCGACATCAAGGCGGTGTGCACAGAGGCCGGCCTGCTCGCGCTACGGGAGCGGAGGATGCGCGTGACGCAGGCGGACTTCCGCAAGGCCAAAGAGAAGGTGCTCTACAAGAAGAAGGAGGGCGTGCCGGAGGGACTTTACATGTGACTGCGCCGCACGCCTCGGTTGCGCCGTGTGCCGCTGCGGCAGCGTGTGCACCTGGCATCAGCCCACGGTGCTGCGATGTCATCGCCGCATGCCAGCGGTAACAGCCTGCTTCAGGAAACAGCTACCCTGTCGATGTGGCTCACAAGACTGCAGGGCGAAATCCAGCGCAGCCAGGACCCCTGAGCTTGGGTGCTCAGGAAAGCAGCCGCAGGTCGGAGGCACTGTGAAACTGCATCAGTCAGGTGGAGCTTGGGTCGGCCAGCTGCTGTGCCATCTGAATGGCTCAGCGAGGTGCCGGGACAATCTAAAGTGCTCATCAGCAATGAATATGCCACAGATATTGCCACGATGGTCCACCTGGGCGCAGTCACGGCCAGATCACCAGCCATATCGCCATGGCATATGATCGCAGTCGCCCGGTACCAGCTGGGCACTGCGACTGATGGGCAGCAGCAACAGCGCACTAAGCAAGCTGCATCATTATTTTACGGTTCAATGAACATTGAAAATGCTTGGGAGCGCCATTCGAGCTCCGACGGTCAGCCTGCAGCCAGCACTTCCTCCCATCCAGCCGTTTTGCCCCCGATCACTCGTGATTATGGTTGTCGGGAACGTTAAATGATTGAGCTGCGTCACTGGTTGTGAACCCATTGGACCCGCAAATTGGCCGGTGAGGCCGCTGCGCGCGCGCAAATGCTGTGCCACGCTTGGGGTGGATTGGCCCTGCCTCTGGCCCGCCTCTTGATGCGCGCACTGACACCAATCTCCTTTGATCCTTCACGCGCATCCAGGCTGATCGCACCAGACACCATGACTGCCCCGGACCTCGATCTTGATGGCCAGCAGGCCCACGCCAAGGGGGCATGCGTGCAATCCACAAAAAAGTACGGGTCCCTGCGCGTCAAGCTGCAGAAGCAGGTGCGGCAACGGCCCTGGTCGCGCGCACAAGCGCAATTTGCCTCATGCGCGGCGGCGGTTGCACTGAAGGGACCACCTGATCCCCGCTGCCACAATCCGCGATCAGCGGTCACAACCCCTCAGGCAGCAGGCCCCAATCAGCAGTTTTCCAAGGGGCAAACCTCTAGAGAATCGTCCTGCCCCGCCGCACTTTCAGCCCGTGCCGTTGGGCTGGTGGCACCCACTCTCCCCTGACAGTCTCGTCCCCTCCCCTCCCCTTCTCTCGCCTGCCCTCATCCTCCTCACCCCCAGGCCCCGCGCCGCCACTTTGACAGCGGCGAGTTCTTCCTCAGCATGGAGGGCAAGGCCCCCGCGGACGGCCTGCTGGCCCCCGCCGATGTCACGCCCCGCTGCTCCAGCGGCGCCGACCAGCTCCCACCACCTGCCTGGAAGTGCGCCCGAAGGTTCGAGCGCCGCGAGCCCAAGCCCAGCCGCCTGTCTGCGACTACATACGCTTGAGGCTGTTGCGAGGCCAGGAGGCGCCTGCTTTTCGCCCGAAGGCCCCTCGCCCCAATCAGCCTCCCAGCGCCGGCTCGGCGGCCCCTGCCCTTGAGGGCCCCACCTTCACTGGTGCCGAAAAGCAAGGGGAAGGCCGCCGATCCCCTCTCCATCTGTTTCACCTGACGGCCACGACTGCTCTTGGGGCCTGACAACAGGTGTCGTTCCACGACGCCGCTGGCACCGCCTGACGCCTCGCCTGCCTCTGCCCGCAGAGCGCTGTCTGGCCAGCATGTTCCTGCGCAGCAGGCCGTGCGTGCTGGCCAACCCTTTCCAAGGCGCAGCCAGGCCCCCTTTGCCACTAATTCTTATAGACAGCCGAGTGTTGACACGGCACAGGGGTTTGACGAGTGATTTGTTTGCTGCACTGCCGCGGCCGCTCCCTGCCCTGGGGCCACGTGCATGCGCACGAGCGTCCATGCTCCCCCATCCACCCAAGCCGAGCGCGTGCGCGAGGCGCGCGGCGGCAATTTTAGGTGGATGCCGCATGCGTTGCTCGACCGGGCAATGCTTCTGTTTGTGAGAGATATCACAGCACTGTTAGCGCGCGAGCTGCCTGGGCAGCGCGCTGCTCAGGGCAGTGGCCTGAGCTGCGCGCGGCCGGACTGCCCGAGCACCTGGCTGCCCCTTGGCCTTGCAATGGCCCGGGCATCAACGCCCGTTCGGCTTATGGGCACAAGCTGGCGGCCTGCTGCGACGCGCCCAAACCGAGCGGGCCAGGACTGTACTTGTGCCGTGCCAAAGCCAAGCCACGCGGCCAGGGCCTCGCTTCCCCAAATTCCTGCGCTTACCGTTGCGGCCTTGGAAAGGGGCCGCAGAGATGCGCGGTCTGCTGTGAGAGGGTCTGCGAACCAGAGCCGGGTGCGGGCAAGCTCCTGACCCGCAACCGCCAGCCTGTGTTTTTGGCAGCCAGCGCCTGCTGCGCATTGCCAAAGCGGGCTGTTGCGGCACAGGTGCACACCCGCGCCCTTGTTGGCCAACGCAAAAGGCACTGTTGGCCCACGTGATGCAGCTTTTAGGGTGGCGTGACCAACACAGTTTTTGGAACCGCGGCGCGCGCGCCAGCGATCAGCGTGCACAGGCCCATGGCCTGATCTAGAAAGAAGCTAATCGTGAGTGGCCTCGTCTGACTTGCGCTGTTGCCGGCATGCCCATTTGACGCCGCTGAGGCGCCTCCCACTCGGCACGTTTCGGCCACCCAGCCCATCTTCCCCTCTGATCCCCACACCCACACCGCTAGGTGGCCAGCAATGCAATCTGAGCGCACGGACCCCGCCACCAGCTTGACGCAATCTAACGGTCATGCTGCACGCAACGGGATAGGATAGTTTTGGCCCTTTGAGTGCGTGACATGAGCTCCCGGCCGCGACACCTCATGGTGTCGCGGCCGCGGCCTCTGCTCAGGGAGTTGAAAGAGCACATGTTTCTTCTGACGAGGGCGGTGTGCGTGGCTTTCGCCCACCTATGCATTGCAAGCGTGTTCGCGTGTACTTCGAAGCCCTCTCACATGGCGCACCTTCTGTGCCCTTGCGCGCCCACTGCGGCCGCGCTTTGCGTTTTACCCCTGGCGTGGTGGTGCTATTGCTTTGTGTGCGCCTGCGTCTATCTTGTGCAAACCAGGTCAGAGCGCGCAGGCTTGGCGCGAGAAAGTCAATCAACACCCCAAACAACATGGTCCTTTACAGGTGACTCGTTTTGATACGTGATATTGGTTCGTGCTCTTGCTGTATAAACACGCGTAGCTGGAGCCTTCCGAGCCCCTGGCACTACCTGATCAGGCTGGGTTTGTCACGCCCTGCAGTGCGGTGCCCCCGCTGCTGAGGCAATCAGTTGCTGAATCACGCTGGGCTTGCAGCCCCTGTTTCAACCATGTCTCGAAGCTGCCACGCACCTTAGCCCGCCGGACTCCGGCGCCTTATGCGCCGCCCTTGCTTCTTTGGTCACCTGCGCAGTCCCCCGCATTTCGCCCAACTCTCGACTGCGCCCGCTGCTTTGCCAGCCGGGCCAGAACGTACCCAATGTGATATACAGCGCCGTGCGACCTCTTTGCACGTCGACATACAAGGTCTTTCAGGAACACATCGTCAACGAGGACCGTGCCGTCCTCGCTGTGGTGCCCCTAGCTGTCAAGCTGTGGTGCATACGCACAACCAGGTTGTGTGGCTGTTTGTGCGCTTGCATCCCCTGCCTGTTTGTGCGCTTGTGTCCCCTGGAACCAAAGGACAGTTGTACTTGCGTTGCAAGCCGCTGATTCTTGTCTCGAGTGTGAGACATCATCAGCATCCTGTGGCGTGTGCGCGCCTGACGGCACGGGGTTGGCTCGCTCTCCTGTGCAAAAAACGCGGTTGTGCCGCTTTGCACCCCGTGTACGCAGACCGGCCATCACTCACGGCTGTGTGAGCCTACTGTGCACATTCGTAACACAAGCCGGCAAGAGCATTTTCGGACGGCAGGAGGGGGGGAGGATTAGCGCCGGCGGGCGGGGCACGTGGGGGCCACACTGGCCGCCGACCACACCGCAGCTTGCGAGTATGAGCTGCGCGTTGACAAGCACAGTCAAGGCAAAAGCGCCCCAAAACCCCAAGACAGGATACACCCAGGCACGAGCAGTTCCAAGCTTGTTATTAGCTTTCTCAACTGTAAATGGCTTGACAGTAATCTTTTGTTGCGTACAAATCAGCTCTACAGACTGACAGCAGGACCCCGGCGTTGGGGGATCATGTGAGGGATTCGAGACTACCTTGCATCCAGCGACGCGTCCAATTGGCACCTCTGCTTTCAACGTATGAGTGGGGCAGTGGGGCTGGCGAAGGTCAGAGCAGGTGAGCCTGGTCCCCAAGGCCTAGCGCTGTGCAGCGCAGGGCCGGCCAAAAACGTTCTGTGTGAGTGATTACCACAGGTCCACCTCAGCATGCCCGAAGCACTTCTTGCCAACTTCCCGCTGTTCGACCGTGGTGATATCAATCAACCAGGTTTTTTTCCACATATCGCGTTTGAGAAACAGCAGAAAAGACGTCGACCTTGTCGTGATACTGTGATCTCACCTGGACCGACCTAGTTCAAGCCACCTTTTGTCCCGTAAGTGGATCCCACAAGACACCGCGTGCAGTGTACCTTTGCTTTGCTGGTGAATGGGGTGTCGGGAGTCCGTGAGTGCTACCTGAATGCTGGATCTGCGCCGCTTTCAAAACTCGCAGGTCCGGATAGATGGCGCTTCTTGCACCCAGCTCGCGAGTGGCCACTTCGAGCGCCCCCGTTGCCATGGCGCAGCGCGTGCTGCTGCGGCCGGCCATGCGCAGCAGGGCTACTGCCAGCATCAGCGCAGCCGCCCAGGTTGGCGAGTGCGGGTTCCTCCTTACTGGAGCGGGTGATGTGGCCTGTGTACTGCACTTTTAAATGTAAATTTCACTCTTTCAGAACGGCATCTTTGGCTAGAGGCACAGTGACGTGCATGCAGCAGCGCGCAGTGTTGCCAGCATGATGCATGCGACCGCCGCGGCCCCCACCCTGGCTTGGCCACGTCTCCCTTCTCGTGCGCTGCGCCAGGCCACCACCCCGGTCAAGATCATCCTGCAGGGGCGCCGCCTGGAGGTGGGGCCCCGCGCGGCCCAGATCGTTGGCTCTGCTGCAGCCCGCGGTCTTCACCCTGTTGGAACTGTCACTGGTGTGGGCGCGCTGCTGTCCCTTGCATATGCCGACGTGCGGCCCTCCCAAACGCGGCGCGTACGCACACGCCTACTCTCTCCCTTCGCCCTCCCTCCCCATCCTTACATGAACTCACTCCCTCCCCCCCCCCAGGTGACCCCTGCCATCAGGCAGTATGTTGAGGAGAAGATCACGCGCGCAGTGCACCACTACTCAGGGGGCATCAAGCACATCGACGTGACGCTCTCCGCGCGCGGCGGCGACACCGGCACGCACGGCGCCAGGTGACACCCCCCCTCGCACGCACCGCGAACCCGGCCGTCGCTGCCTGGAGTAAGCCGCCTGCGCGCCCTGCCACCACCGTCAAGCTCAGGTCGCCGTGCGGCCGCTTTCCTGCTCTGTGCGCCCCGCCCTCACCCCCAGGCAGCAGAAGGTGGACGTGACGATCCACACCGTGCGCAGCGGCGTGGTGCGGGTCGAGGATGCGGAGGCATCCCTGTACGCCTCCATTGACACTGTGGCCGACAAGGTGAGCGTGTGTGTGTGTGTGTGTGTGCGCGCGCCCACGTGTGTGTGTGTGTGTATGTGCGTGTGTGTGTGTGTGTGTGTGTGTGTGTGTGTGTGTGTGCGTCGTGGGAGGGACAAGGGCGCCAAACTTGGGGCACGGCTTTGACAGGACTAAAACACAGCTGCAGGGGCTGTAGAGGCGCGGGCACTGTGGCGGGCGGGGCTGCAGTGACAACCGCGACATGGCGCTGCAACACATCGCCGGGTGCACCCGTGGCGCCCCCCCCCCCCCCAGGTGACGCGCAAGCTGAAGAAGATGAAGGATCTGGCCATCCACAAGGGCACCTGGCCGGGGCGCGCTGGGCCCAGGGACAACAGCGAGGAGCAGGAATACAAGGTTGGGGGGGACGGCGATGTCGCGGGAGGGAGCCTGTGCTGCACACCATGTTGTGTTTGTGCAGGAGCAGCCTCCATGGACTGGGCGTACATCACGCACTTGGCTGCCTCTGCTGCTGCTGCTGCTGCTGCTGCTGCTTGTCCGCTCCCCCACCGAACACACCCCTCGCACCCGCCACCACCCACCGCGCCCTGCGTGCGCCGTCCAGGAGTGGCTTGAAAGCGTGGCTGTTGAGACCATGACGGCCTCCTTTGACGAGGAGCAGACGCGCGCCGCAGAGCTGGTGCACCTCTCACGCGGCGCCGCCTCAGGCATCCCCGACAGCGTGCTGCGCAGCAAGGTAGCGCATGATGGGGGGGGCCACTGGTCAGGGTGCTGAGGGCTGTCGGCCAGGGTGCTGTGTGCCGCCCGCCTTGATGTGTTCTCAACAGTGGACAGCACCCGCTTGATGCCCCACTACACCACAGTCGCCAGCGTCTGCGCGTCACTGTCGCCACCGCGTTGCGTTGCAGCGGCACAACGGCGCAGCGTGTCGCTCACCGCCCCTCCCTGTTCGCGGCACCCCTCTCCCCACCAAGGTCCTGCGTGTTGACGCCATGCCGGTGGACGACGCCATCGATGCGATGGAGGCTGTGGGTGAGTGGGATTGGGGAGCGGCTGTGGTAGTCTCATGGGGGAGGCAGGCTGAGCCTGGCCAATACAGCCCTTCAGCTTGGTCACCTGCTCGCAACATGACACACTCGGGACGGCATCACGCACAGTGTAGGTAGCCGGGAGGTTTCGGGTCCTCTGCAACATAACGTGCGGTGGCATCCTGCACATGCCGCGCTTGCTGACGGCCATGCGTGCTCTTCTTTTAATCAACCCCTCCGCCCCCGCAGGCCACGCCTTCTTCCTGTTCCGCGATGCCAAGGTGCGCATCAGGCATCACTTCAGAACGTTGCCTTCTCTTCCCATGTGCCGCATCAACTTGGAGCGCGTGCTGGGCGTATGCATGCCCTGTCTGCCTCAACCATGGCTGGATATCTGTATCTGTATGCATTGAGGCCCGACACCACCCGCACCTAGACATACATATGCTCAACCCGCAACGCTGGAGCCCTGACCCTGTCACACCACACCATCCCGTATCGCGGCAGTCTGGTGACGTGAACGTGGTGTACAAGCGGGCGGCTGGGGGTTACGGCGTGCTGGTCCCGGAGCCCGAGGCGTGAGGCCGCGCGGCACAGCACCCTGCATGGCTGCAGGCAGCCACTGCGGCTCCCGCTGGGCACAGGTGCTGCATGCTGCTGGGCAGTCAAGCAAATTGGGGTCAGGAAATGCTGGCGCCTTTGCAGCACGTCTGAAACGTGTCGTTGTGCGTCATGTGTGTATGCTCAGCTTATCCCTGAGCTTTACATTCAACCCAATCTTCTTTTGGGGATGGCCGCTTGTGCCACCCGTGTGTGCATGATGCGGCCGCTCGTGCAGGTGCTGCGGTGTGCCACGTGCTCGTGCGCCAGGCGGCTGCAGCAGGCGTCGCTCACTTGTTCCTTCACACTGGCATTTGAAAAAGCAGCTGCAATGCCACTTTGGCATGGGATTTTTCGCTGCTTCTGTTTATCGTGCTTGATGGCTGTGTCTTGTGCGCTGCTGATCGCTGCCTGTCGTGTTGTAGCCATTACATGCCGCAAACACTGGACTGTGGCCCCAAGTAAAGGCCCCATTCCCAAGTGGTTTGAGAGTTCAAGAACATCAAACCACATCTGGAAAACACCTCTATGCAGTGCAGCCCAAGAGGACAGGAGCGTGCAGGTTGCTGCTGACCCGAGTCGGTCAACTCATTGGGCACACACACTGCACTGATGCACCTCGCCGTTGCAGTCGCTGGCAAGGTGATGCCGGCGTGCACCTCGCACTCATGCCTGATAAAAAATTGTAGACTCTGACCTGATCTATAAGATTTGCTGCTGGGTTTCACGCCCAGCGGTCGTCGCGCTTGTCACGAATCGCCAGCATACCACGCTCGACACGTTGGGCGCTGGGGAAGCAAGCCATGCGAGCTGGTAGAAAAATGTTTAAATGCTGCTTATGTACTTACAAACGCTCGTAAGACAAGTCAGGGGCACGCACGGCCCTGCTTGAACAGGACACGCGGGGGGGCTGCAGCATACCAGTTCCACCTTTCCCCCTTCCCGTGAAGCAAATTGCCATAAAACTCTGACACAAGTTTGTCTCTGCTTATTAACATACCAATCAGTCTTTCCCAATCATTTGAGATCGTCCAACCCGGACATTGACCGAGCGTCGCCGCGGCAACCACCCTCAAGGGGTCCCTGGCCGCCAACAATCTATAACAAAGGCTTTCATCTTCTGTGAGCTACGCAGCAGCCATGCGTGCTCAGCTAAGCCTTGCCCTGGCGGTGGGCCTGGCCTTGACCATCGCCGGCGCCAGCGCCAAGCCTGTGGAGCTGTCGAGCAGTGTCATCCTCTTCTACTCCAGCGAGCTCTATGTGAGAAATCGTGCGCGGCAGCAGTCCGCCACGGCACCAACCGCGCCTGCCTTGACCCAGCTGGTCTAGCACTCGTCCCATGCAATCAGCCCGCCGCCCACCCACCCTTGCGCCCCGCCCCGCCCCACAGCCCCATTACGGCCAGCCGATCAGCCAGTGCGAGCTGCTGCTCAACCGCGCCAAGGAGGGCGGCGCTAAGAGGTAAGCAGCCGCCCAGATCTGCGGCCGCTGCTTTCCAAGCAGCCAGCCTCCCGTGTTTGACTGCGCTACAGCCGGTTATCCGGCTCGGCGTCGATTCACGCTACCGTGCCGTCAATGTGATTGCTTCATGACCAATGGGGCGTTCTATGTCATGATCAACACAAATGCTTCACCTCCCAAGCGCGTGGCTAACCCAGCCCCCCGTTTCTTTGCCCACCCCATCCCCACCACAGTGTGAACATCGTGCCCACCCTCTACTGGTATGACCCCGCCTCCCAGAAGCTGCAGACAGGTGTGTGCAACGCCGAGGCCTGGGCCGAGAACCAGGTGGTGGACCACTACTGCGACAAGTGGGAGTGGGACAGCCCCTGCGAGGCCTTCTCCTGGGACAAGGTCTCGCGCTGGGAGACCGGCATGAAGGACTGCATCAAGAAGGTGAGGCCTGGGGCTAATCGGGGGCTGGCAGGGGGTGGCTGTGCCTTGTGTAATTGCGGGAGGGAGGCAGCAAGAGAGGTTGGAAACTCTACTGCCTAATCATCAGGCACGACTTGATGCAGGCAAACCAACTCCAGCCGTTCAATCAACTCCTCCCCAGGCCCACGACATGTTTGACACCGTGCTGATCAGCCCGCACCTGGACGATGGCACCAAGACCATGCACTGGCGCAACATGCTCTGGTTCGACCCTCTCAAGAAGGACAAGTGAGAAGCCCGGGTTCAGGGGACAAGTGTGATTCTTCAGGCGGTTGCACAAAGGGCTGCAATACGGTGCCCAGCTGGAAGTCGGCTGCGCTGCACCAGCTGTACTGCCTCACCACTCCGCCCTCCCAAAATGGCAAATCCTTACCCTCCTCTCCGCCAACCGGTCCCCGCCCTCTCCCCCAGGAACGGCTTCAACTACTTTGACATCATGCTGAGCCCCATCCTGAAGGCCGTCAAGGCCTCCTACACCCAGGCCGGCAAGACCTTCATCTTCGGGGCGGAGGGCGAGATGGGCGGCACCGTGTTCTACGCGCCCGAGTCGTACCTCAAGATCTTCCGCACCATCCGCGAGGAGTACAAGGGCCCCGCCACCCTCAAGACCGCCCTCATGTTCAACCACGCCTACCTGCCCGGCGTCATCAACCGCGGCGATGACGTGTACGGTGCCATCCCCGAGGGCAAGTTCTGGAAGAAGGACGGCGGCTGGGGCCCCCTCCTGCCCTTCGACCAGTGGCCCGAGCACGAGCGCCTCTCCAAGGCACTGCCCGCGATCAGGCGCCTGCTCAAGAGCGTCGACGTGCTCGGCGTGTCCTGCTACGCGCGCACCTCGGCCGACCCCCAGCCCGTGGAGCTCGAGTCCTGCGCGGTCAAGTACGACGCTGAGCTGTCGGCCATGGGCTTCGACCTCAAGGCCTGGACCAACCTCCCCGGCAAGTCCTTCATCTACAACGAGTTCGCCCTGGGCGGCGGCATCAGCGAGTGCGGCAACACCCCCGCCACCACGCGCGAGGAGGCCGGCCGCTTCAGCTGGCTGGGCGGCACCAGCACCTTCACCAAGTCCATCGACCCCTGGAAGGTCAACACCATCCAGCAGTACAACCGCGATTGGTACCAAGCCGGTGAGCCGCGGGATGCGCCCGGCGGGAGCGTATCGGCAGCCTGGGCATGCTGGTTGTGGTTTGCCGTGAGGTGTAGCGCGAATGTCCAGTTACGAATGGATCCAGAGTCCACCAACACCTTCACTGCCATGTACCCACCTCCGCCCTCTCTTCAACCCCACCCCCTCCCCGAAACCCCCCAGCCTTCAAGCTGCTCAAGAACGGCGGCATCAACTACAAGCTCAGCGGCGTGTTCCTCTGGAACGTGGTGTCCTGGGACGTGCAGGTGCGCCTGCGGGCGGGGCGGCAGCAAGGGCAAGGTGCAGCTGACATTCTATCGGCCGGTGGGACGCCTGCAACATGGGGATTGCGTAGGGCGGTGTCCCGAGCAAAAGGGTGCCCATCAGTTCGACCCTAGAAATGCCACTGAAGGCGCGCACTGTCCTCCAACAAATGGTTCTCACCCTCGTGCAGGGCATCCACCCCGCGTCGTCCAGCGGCGAGGGCACCTTCAAGGACGAGGTGATCAGCCAGCAGATCAGGGAGTACAACGCCTGGGTGGCGGCCAACCCCAACGCAGGCAAGATCCTGGTCGCCTCCGTCAAGCCCCAGGGCAAGCCCCACGGCAAGCCCAACGGCAAGCACACCGGGCGCAAGGTGCTCCAGGCCTGAACAGCGGTGCCTGGGTTGCCTGGAGGCGGGACCGAGCTTGGCGCCTGGGGCGCCCGTGCCAGCGCGATGCAGCAGCGCGCGCGGCGGGAGCCACAGTGCCCACCTGCCGTTCCCACCTCACGGCCCCTGAGTGGCGCACGCTAACATCGCCATAGCAATGCAGCAGCAGCAGCAGCACCGCCGGGTAGCGCGGCAAGAGCGGACGGATGTGTGCGGGTGTGTTCTTTGATGCCTGCCCTCATGATTGATTGCAACCGTTTGTGGTCGGAGCAGGCGACAGCAGCCGGCAAGCCATGCCGCCTGTCAGTTGCGCACGATCAGCCACGTTTTGGCGATTTTCTCTGCATTTTGTATGCGCTGCGCCTCCATGCTGCCCCTTGCGATGTGCTGTTGGGCCCTCCTGGCCCAGGCCAGCGCTCATTGGCCTGTATGGTGGTGCGCCGTCAAAGGGCAGACGTGCGCGTGCGAGCAGTGCGCAGCAGCTGGTGGGCCTGATGGCAAGCCCTCACCGCGTCATGTTCTAGCGCCATTGATTTGCAACATTGAAAGTAGCTAGCTCTCCAACACCAACCTCTCAATTTGCTGGCGGCCAGTTAGCCGCCCTACACAACAAACAGCAGGGAGGCCGATGCCAGCACGGTCACTTGTGCTGCAGCTCATTGTATTGTGCCATTCACTTGTCTGCACACACAGCATGATGCACCCGCCCCTGTTTGCTGCAGGGGCGCTTGTGTAACCAACTATGTGCAGCAGTCAAGTGACAGACCAAGAAAACGCTAGTTGCAGCAAATGGGCTGGGGATGAGTGGGCTCAGTCAAGGGACCAGTGGTGCTACTTTCACGCGATTCATCAGTTTGTGATGGTCATTCGCGAGGCAGCCTAATAAGAGGATGGTCACGCGGTGATACGATTGGGGCCGATGGGCCAACCAGCCACTCCTGCAACCGCCTGGATTTGGCCTACGGAGTGCCCCCAACTCTTCGGTATGGACCTGAGCCTGCCACCTCCTAGCTGATACAGCTCGATATATGTCGTCTGAAAATTCAAGCGCGCAGCCCCACGCATAGCAAACATGTGTGCAGCTTTACACTCACCACAGACAGTGATCTAAGATCCAAGAAGCCCTGCCCTTTGTTCATACAGAAATATATCAAACTGTCTTCAGTATGAAGAGGCGTCTGCAAGGGGCGCTACTGGCCACGAGCCGCGCCCCCATCCAGGCTTTTGAGAAAATCCTGCATCTGGATGGCGCGCGGGCGGCGCTTTCAACTGTGAGAACACATATAAACTTGCTCTGAAAGCCTCCTGGGCTCATGCCGTCCTGGTGAAAACTTTGAACATCTGCAGCGCTGTCGTCTCGCCGCCGCTGCTGCGCTGCACAACCCCCACCTTTGGCGAGCCTGGCGCCTGTTGGCATACGACTCCACATAATCCTTGCACTCCATGGTGCCGCAGCGTGTCGTGCCGGCAGAGGTGGCACGGCAGGTGGCACAGCGATGGCAGGGTCTCGTGCGGCTCCCTTCTGACGTGGTCGACTCCCTGACAGCCTACTTTGCTGGTGGGTGGCCGTAAGGTTGTGAGCCAGGCTGGCCCAGCGTCTGGAAGCCGCGGCCGGCGCGATCAACTGCACTCCCTTCAGATCAGCTGCAGGCAGCAGCCAGCGTCGGTGGCGCTGTACCCGTCACCCGCTGCGACCCCCAGCTGCCCTGCCATCAAACGTGGCTCGCCCTGACCAACGCCGCGCCGACAACGACCAAAACCCGCAGAGAGCGGCCTGAACAAGCGCCATGCCCGTGAGCGTGTGATGGCCCTCTCGGAGGACCTGCGCCAGCTGTCGCGCTCGCAGGCACGCGGCGGCATCCAGCCCTACCGCGCGCTGCCCGGCGGCGCGGAGGCCGCCGCGGCAGGGGCGGCATCGCGGCAGCTTGCCGGCCCGCAAGCGTTGCAAGAGCCGGCCGATGGCTGGGAGGCAGAGGAACAGACGCTGTTGCTGCCCGGCCCCGGGGTCGTCGCCAACGCGCCGGCGGCGGCGCCGGCGCCCGGGCCATGGGGCGTTGGGGGTCCATTGGCCATGCGTACACGCAGCGGCCGGCTGTCGGCCAAGGTGGGCGGCGGGACCACACGGGTTCCTCTATGGTGCTAGAGGGTCGTGGCGGCGCGGGACGTGGCGTACTTGGGCGCGGCGGCGGGCGGTCGCTCTCTGAAATCACCTGGCTCGCCTGGCTGGCGCCGGGCGCAGTGCGCCCTCGTCCCCCTCGCCCTCCGGCCCTGACCCCTCACCCTCACTGCGCAGAGCTCCTTCCTTCCAAGAGGGCGCGGCCTGCCGTCCGCACCAGCTCAGCCCCCTGCCAACACAGGCCCCCCAACCAGCACCCAGAACCCCACCCCTAACCCCACTCCTTCAGGGCAAGCACGCGCTGGAGGACAAGGCGGCGACGATGGGCCTCCTGGCCCTGTCGCCAGAGGAGCTGCGCGCATGGTTCGGCCTGCCGCCGCCCATAGCCACCTCCGCAGAGGAGGAGGCCGCGCGAGCCGCGGCGCCGTCCTATGGGCTGCCGCAGGCGCAGGCGTACGCGCTAGCACGCATGGCGGCGTCCAACGCCGCGCTGAGGCATATCTTTGCTGAGCTGGCGGGCCGTCTGCCGGGCTTCAGGCCGCGCGCGATGCTGGACTATGGTGCCGGGCCCGGGACCGCCATCTGGGCAGCGCAGGAGGTGAGGGTGGGGGCTGGGGGGGCGTCTTGGCCCGAGCAGGGGGGCGTTTGCGCCTTGTGGCAGTGGCGGTAGTGGCCGTGATGGTAGGGACAGGGAGAAGCTGCTTAGCAGGCAGAGCAGGCGCAGAACGACACAGCGGCAGGGGACTGCGTCGCTGCACTTGGCCATCGCATTGCCTGGGAACACCAGTCAGGGAGCATGCTGACGTGGCGGGCTGAAGTCATGTCTGTGTGTCCACCACGTATGCACCATGACCCTTTAGAGCCCACCCACCGACCCACCCTGACGCCCCCCGCCCCCAGCTGTGGCCTGACGCGCTGGCCCTGGCGCACGCGGTGGAGCCGTCCCTGCACATGGCGCGCCTGGGACGCCGCCTCGAGGTGTCGCGCCGCGAGGCCTACGAGACCGCCCCCCTGGTGTCGTGGCACCCCGACCTCGCGTCACTGGCCGGCGTCCCGGGCAGCCGCCGCGGCGGAGCGGCCTACGGCAGCCGCCGCCGCCTCGTGGCGGGCCGCGGGCGCGGCGCGCGGCGCAGCGC